GGAAGCGAGAGATATAAATCGAAAATCCAGCTGATGTCTTTTTCTCTTGAGAAAAATAAATCGAAATGCGAAAATTGAGAGAAGTATATCGTCTCGATTCACCGATTTAGTTAGTACCATTGTCAGTTGTTGTGTTACTGGTTCCCATCGAGGAGTTAATCCCATATGCACCATTCATATGTTCCACAATCTTCGCAATATTTTTTCAGCTCTCTCGGTCTGCAGTCATTCGAATTCCTATGAAACGGTCGATTCTGTTAATGGAAGTTAATTCATCCAATTGAAGTTAACATGTTCACGAGATACTTGATTACATTTTGGAGCTTTCTGAAAGATGCACAACCACCTGTTCTATTGTCCCTTGATATTTCATGGCAGATACGGACAACATAAATAAGTTAAGGTTACCAATGTGCTTGTGCTATAAATTGAAACTTTACATATGCATATCTACTGTTTCTTCCTGAGATACTTCCCAGTTCTCGAAAGTGTATTGCTGTAAACCAAGGCAATGTTCAGTTATTGCGAATTTGGACAGGAAAACTTAGAGGACCCCATTCTGAGGGTGACGAGGGAACATGCCCCACCGATTTGCTTCTAGAGTATATCGAACAGCCCTTCTTGAAAAAAGTACATAAACCAGTGAGACTTTTAAGGTACAATAGCACATGCTAATCGTCCCTATACCATAAAATCTGCAGTGGTCCGGGGCGGTAGTGGTGGTCTGTGGCATGCGGGGGCACATTTGGTGCTGGCATGAGCACAGTTCCTTGTGCTCTCCTATAGCCATAGTAACAGGTGGACAGAGGTACCTGTTGCTATGGGTTTGGTAGTGGTTGAAGGCCACAATTTTTGGAAACATGCTCGACGGATTGCGATGTGAATAGCGTAAGTCCGTCAATAAAAGTCCACTCACCACATTGTCCTACAAATCGACGATTTAAGGTAATGATTTGATCTTTGGGGTACCCTTCGTCTTCTCTTAATGTCAATTTCCCGTCCTTTGACATGACAATTAACGAAGTTCAGGGGCGAAACTTTTAGAAAATAGGGGTGCTTTGCCACATCCTGTCTTCTCACGTGACCAGCCAGTGGCGGATCCAAGGGATCCACCTACCCCTATGGCCATGTTCGAATTAATTTTCTTTGAATTATTTTGTGCATTTGCTTTGGCTATCTGTAGGTTAGTGTGAATCAATACGTGTCAAAACGAAAACGGAATAAAACACTTTTCCTATTGGATTTTTTTTCTTCTGAAGATCAAGCAGAATTTCAGGGTGCTATGAAATATTGAAATCCCCATGTCCACTATCGTTTCCAATTTGAGAATTGTTCTTAGTTCTATTTTTTAAGAGTGGTGCATGTAAACCTATCGACAAAGTAAGTCTCAAAATTTTACTTAATTTCATTACATTTCATATTTTATTCACCTTGAATGGATAGGGACACATTCTATTTCCAAACATGTAGTACCTCTAGCTAAAGTGAAACCCAATCATCTTTGCCATCCTAATCAATGGAGACACATGAATTGCATTCCTTGGTTGCCCTGGCTATATATGACCATGCTTGATTCAGAATATTACACCTTTTCCCTATTTTTTTTCATATACTATCATGTTCCATCTCGCATCTTTGTTTAGGAAGAATAGTCCGAATCTTCAAATCCCGCTATGCCAGAACTTAATAGAACAAAGAGATACAAAATTTCACTCGTTCTTTACTGATAACTTTCTAAAGTCCACCACAAAGTATTGTGGCATCGATCCACAAGGACACCCTTCAGAAATCCAAACACACTGCAATCCTAACCCTGTTTCGATTATTGAAACCCTGTTTTTGGCAGTAAAAATGTAGGTTATTTCCCTAATCAGAAAGGTACAACCAAGTTTCATCATGAGTCACCACATATAGGACTTGTACATAGATCCTGGCCATGCGGTATTCACAATTTTTAGGCATGCAGGAATGTGAGAAACAATATTCGAAGTCTTTACCTTTTCTCAGCCTAAATCCAATCTCAACCTCTACCACAACCTCGCCACCCCCGGCTCACCTTTTCGACGGAAATCACTTTCGTTAGGCCTAACACGTGTCACTTGGATATTTCAATGAAGATTTTATGAAGCATTTATATTGTGAGAATATTTATTGAACGAACTGCTAGATGCCAGGCAAGACTCTTCGGGGCGGGGATTCCATCGAAGGACATCCAATTGTAGACCGTAAGAAGCTGTCCAAGGAAGTTCCTTCGCTCGTTCCTCAATTCTTTAAGCCGAAACATATATAACTTTAACCTATGTATAGAGTATTTCATACCGACGTCCCTCCATAGACCCCGTGTTGAGCGAGTCGTCGGATAACCCGACGATTTTTTACTACTAATCAGACCCTTGGAAAGAAGTTCCTGCGGCCAGAGGTGGGGAGTGGGAAGCGGATGAGATATGGGCATAGGGCCCTAGGCCATCACCCTATTGCAATCTACTATCGATCAACATCTGTAGATTTTGGAGTGAGCAATTGTGCAATCATTTCTGACCGCCAGCAAGATGATGATGCAATAGAGTGAATCATGCCAAACTGGAGCAGTTGATAGTCTTCAGTCTTTAAAATACCATAACTCTGAGAGTAATGAACCTATCTTGACGAATTTGAAACAGAAAGAGATGTCCTTAGGGACACTTTCATCACACAACCCCATTTCGCGTCATTCGATCAACTGCCAACAGATGGCGGGATATCAGCCGATCCCAACCTCATTCGGTCACTTTCCCACCTCTTGCCCAGTTTCTGCCCGACATGGCGCGGGTGAATGGGGGTGTTCGGTGGGTCCTCAGCTAGCAATGCTATTCTGCACCCTACTTCTTCCATGTCCCTTCAAAGGAAGTAAGCAACGCTAATGGGTTACAGCGAAAGTGATCTTGCACACGATAGGATGCCGATTACTTTTTCAACGCCACGTTAGTATCGATGAAAGTCAGTTTAGCTTGAAATCGGCTTCGAGCATGTGTATTTTAGGTAACTTATGGAAATGAGAAATGAGGATCTGTTTCAGTTCCAGTTTCATGTCACTGAGATAGAGGTAATGGAAGTCCAATCCTGTGAATGGTTAGTGTATAGCAAGATAGACATACGCGATGTGAAACATCAGTGGAAGTGATTAGTTAATTTAACAATGGAGAAATAAGACTTCCTCATAGGATACACCTGAGAAATTAAGAAGATATGAGTGATTCGAATGAGAAAACCTAATAGCATTATGCTACGTTATTCTGCAGTGTCGTGCATGAGCAAACATCCCGAGATAGAGAATGCGAACTGGACATACGACGGATGGGATGGGAAATACCCAGCACCTCCTGGTGCCGCCATCATCTACATCTGCCGTCAACACTCGAGGCTCACGGATGGAGAGCTCAAACACAATGCCACCTGCTCCTTCCTTCCTGATGACGCATGGGAAACTTCCTTTCGCGGGAAGGACATTCGATGCCGTGGTGAGTCACTTGAGCTCGAGAAATTCATCGGCATCCTCTGTGTTCATATCGATGCGGTTTCAACGGGAATTCAAATGGGAGGTTCTATCCCCTTGAATCATGAAGAAATTTCAGTTTTTGAAGATTTCGATAAAATTCAAGTTGTGAAATTTGAGAGAAGTTTCGTCGAAGTTGGTGGTATGCCTTCAAAGTTTTTTATTTAATTTCGAGGTACTTTGTGTCTCGTGATTCTATCACATGGGAACTGATTGCTGATGTAGTTGCCATCAAAATCATAATGTTATAGTTCTGTATCCTGAATCCTTGTGCAGAGGCATTGCCTGCTGCCCGGAGGACTACCATAAATGCGATTAGCACTTGTCCATTGAGTTGATAGAAAGACTCCGAAAAATGAAATTTGAAGGAAAAAGGCATGTGTGGACAGGCCATAAAACTCTGGCATTTGTAAGCAAAAACTCCCTTTGTCAACTTAATTGCCTCATTTGTCATCATCGGCAGTGACTTTCATCTTAGAACCTAATTACCCTTTGACACTTTGAGAGTCTACCGCGTGCACATGGATTCGGGATATTGACAATGAATTGGAATCCAGTGCGTGTGTGTGATTTTCCTGGATGATATTTGCCTAAGACTTGCGAGAGTCCGTGTATCTGTTCCCAGATGAGATAGCTTATCCTGAATGTCGACTGACGGATATGGGGAAAGAATACATGGGCACCGTGAACATGACAGAGAATGGAAGTCCCTGCCTTAGATGGGATTCCCCTGAGTTGACATCGTCATTCCGCGAAGTCGGGGAAGGATTCCAGGAAAATATGTTTTATGATGAGCATTTTCTGAACCAGAACCCGTCCATGCATGAAAACTTCTGCCGGAACCCGACGTTGAACATGGGACCCTGGTGTTTCATCGACAAGGGTGGCTTGAAATGGGAGATGTGCTCGATTCCATTATGTGATGAACTGAGTGAGTCAAAATAACCTAATTGGGACCATATCCTTCATTTCGTAAAGGAATGTGCTCATGCTCGGTTCGCACTATCAAATTTAAATTATCATGCATTTAAATCAATTCATCGTCGACTTCCATTTTCGCCAATCAGATCAGACCAGAAAAAGTTTCGTCTGATAATGCTGCAAATATAGACAAATGTATAATATAACATGGTGCATGTTGCATAAAGGAAATAATCCTTGCCGATTGCTCCTAAATACCGCTCATCCCTGAACCGTTTCAGATTTTGAGACATAGTAGAATCGCTGGAGGAAAATTGTAAGGCGAGAAGCACGAGGAGCTGCAAGCTAAAGTGATACATTACAGGAATAATACGTAAGCTGTCATTCTTCCGATGCGCACCGAAACACGATGAGGAAATCTAGTGTAATTGAAGCGATGTAAGCGGGAGGCTGAATGAACTTCAACTTTTATCGCATTGAATAAACTATAAATAACGAGAGAAGACTGCACTTCGTCTACTGAATGATTGTTATAACTTTCGAACCCAAGGAGCTGAATATTGAGCGATGGAGTCTTCACATGTGTTTCTTAGCGTCTGAAGACTTATTAAACTCCAATTATAACACCCTTCAGTATTATATTATATGTAAATCTTGCGAAACGCTTACTTTGGGAATGGAATGTTCGGGCGACTTGATCTTACAGGCACACGCTATGAAGGACGTAGGATTCCAACATCTGAAATTTACTAAAATCAACAACGTTTTAGTTGTGGAAGTGGGTTGTAACAGCTGACGCCGTTCTTGCGAGACATCCTATAGTAATACTTGTGGCATATAGTTAACCCTGGGAGGGTTTACATATTTCACCCCTTCATATCATATTTTCGTCTGGCCATGTTTCCATTTATTTCATTTCCTCCATATCATTTCCTATTCGCCCTTTAATCTCATTAGTCTGAAATTAATTTTGTCAATAACTTCAGTGATATTCACATGCCATTCAAAGTCGATCACGTGGATGGAAACACATCCCCATCTTAGGATTTTCAATGCTTCCCGTCCACGTCTCATTTGGACATTTCAATGAACATTCTGCTTAAGCTCATGGGAAGCGCGCTAAATATGTGGGAACAGTTTGTCATTATTCCAGGAAAAGAAATGGGAAAATCACATAATGGTGTCAGAACTGGAGGGAATAGAAGAATAGGAGCATTTCCTCGGCTTCATTTCTTATATTCAGTTAAATTGTATTACTGATGTCGAAATATTTAGTAAAAGTCCGTTATCACGTTTCTCCAAATATGGTATCGGTCCCCACTTTCAGGAGGGCCAGAATGCAAGCTGACACAGAAGGGAGCGGAATACGTGGGCTCAAGGAGCATGACCATTTCAGGTTCTCCGTGCAAGTCGTGGTCATCTACGAAGAACTGGAATGAGGGGCGATTGTTTGAAATGTGGAAGCAGGCATTCCCTGATTCCATCACGGCTGATCACAACTACTGTCGGAACCCAGATGGGAAAATGGGTGGTCCCTGGTGCTCAGTTCTGGATGGAGAAAGTTCTGAGGAGACATGGGGATACTGCGATGTGCATTTCTGTACAATGGAGGAAAAGGAGACAACGTGCGAGATGGAAGGCCGTTGTCAGTCGAGTGAGTCATTCGGCTCAAAAGTAGCAGCATTTCGTACGTGGGGGTTGAGGGGGGGGGCGCCCCAGAGAGCACTAAATAATGTTTCCTGTCTTTCTCTTTCTGGTGGGGTGAGCAATCCGGTTTTTGGCCGGTCTCCAGTTGTTAGCCAGTGCGGTTTAACTCCAGCATGATTAATCTGGCCGTTTACAAGCGTTCTATCAACATCTTCCCGTCATATCATCCCTCACATTCACATTCACAGATTTGGTCGCTTTCGTGCTTCTAGGATGGAAAGAATCAGTGACATTCGAATCGTATGTGCCCTGACCAACGACCAATGACCTCGACCAAATATTTTGAGTGATAAAAATTTTTCGGCAATAAAAACATGTTGCTTAACTCGAGGCAATACATTTTATAGGTGTGCCGGAATTCCATGAAATATTGTCCATTGGTACTTGGTCAGATTGCTTATTTATTGATTCTCGGTCATGAAAAATGGGCCTAAAAATAGTGTTCGGGTACCGTTGGAATATTATTATTCACCTGAGTTCCATATATTTTACTGATAGACATCACCCATCGTTTCCTATGTTGGCGTAATTTATTTAACATAAAATCCCAAGAAGATGTTGCAACTTTCTAGATGGAAAAGACTTACAAAAAACATGAAATCATTAATGTAGCCAAGCACCTCTCTGAGTCCTTTTAAATATATTGTAAGGAAAACGTTATTGTTCCAAAGTTAATCTAGCATCAATACGGGAATCAGAACCCTCCATCATTAGGGTCTACATATGAAAGTACAGTATTTTAAATGTTCTTGCGAATCGTAAGAATTTTTCGGTTTTCTCTCTCTTAATTTCCTATATGAATAGCAATAATTTTTACTTCATCAATACGTTTTGTATCCTGCCCAGTTGGTTACCAATGATCCTAAAACGATACATGATTTCATATTATCCCCATTACTATTAATTTGACTTGTGCTGGATTACTACACGCGTTACTAATGCCAATTCCAGGAAGCACAGCACGGAGAATGACTTGTGGCATCCTGGTAATCCCGGCAATGTTTCTGGGACTCCGGCTTAATGAATTAATCTATTTTCTATTTTTTACAGCGCATGCTACTTCCATGAAAACCTTCATTTCAGACGAAATCGAGGTTTCAGGAACATATCCGGAATGTAGGATGACGACAAGAGGGAAGGAATACAGAGGAACCAAAAGCGTGACAGAATCTGGATTGACTTGTGAAGTCTGGAAGTATATTGGAGGACTTACAGATATCTACATTGATTTCGTTTTCTCTCATATTCCCAAACACGAACGCGACCAATTAAGCGATGATCGGAAATCGGAAATGGAAGAACTCATCAAAACACAGGATCAGAACTATTGTCGGAATCTTTGGTTGGCAGAGCGGCCATGGTGCTTCGTGTCGGACGGGCCTCGTCGCTGGGAATACTGCGACATTCCGATCTGTCAAAAATGGAAGAACTCATCAAAACACAGGATCAGAACTATTGTCGGAATCTTTGGTTGGCAGAGCGGCCATGGTGCTTCGTGTCGGACGGGCCTCGTCGCTGGGAATACTGCGACATTCCGATCTGTCAGCATCCAAAAAGTTTGTTAATTATTGCCCTCACGATATATTATAGAAATGCAGCTTTTAGGACTTTTAATAATGTAGATGACATGTGAATCTCTGAACAGCGAAATATATTGATCTTGTTATACTAGTTTGTGGTTCAACAGATTATTTGATTAAAATAACTCTTCATCCATTTCAATCAGGAAGTTGTGTGAAAATAATTCTTCATCAATCCCTCCCCCTCTCCATGAGACTCACTAACGTTAGACTAGCGGCTAACCAACGCAGTCTCCTCAGACCTTTCCCGCTGAAAAAAGTCTCATCGACCTACCGACAACCGAATTGGGCCTATAAAGGTCGATCCTTAAGTCTTCGAGTCACCTCGGCGAGAACTTGTAACTAGACCGATTAGAGGCCTGTTTCGAATTCCAGGAATCGCTTCTATGTGGGTGTCTAACTTAGGGCCTCTCTGGAGTTCCTTGAACCATCCTGACTAGGTCTGAGGTGAGAATGCTTATGGGATGAAAATGCATATTGGGCGCCGTCCTGTTTATTCGGGAATATTCATGCAGAATATGTCAATAGCATAAAAAAGGATTTGGTCGTTGCTAACCACCGCTTTCATCTAGGCTGATCTAATGAATCCGCACAAAAATGTATCTTACATAAAAATAAAACATATTCAAAAATGAAGTCAGAAATAGCCTTGAATCGGACATGAAGCAATAACCAATGTTCTACACAAACCATGGGAATCTTAAGCTTCAAATTTGCTGAAGAAAATCTAAGTTGAGAGGGTAACAAACACACGCAATTTCGTTACTCTAGGTGCTATCAGTGGGAAATACGGGGAGGTTGAATTTTTGGACGGAAAGGCGTTAAAGAAAGGAAGTAGTCCCATAAATGAACTTGTTTTAATGTGGGCACATGTCAAATTACGAATATCTCTCTAAAACTATCCGAAACTCGTTAGCACATTGTTGTTCACCTTTAGAACCCGTGGAGTGCAAATTGACGAAGGATGGAGACGAATATGTTGGGATTATGAACGAAGTGGCAAATGTTGAGATCAGGCCAATGAAGTGCCAATCTTGGTTGAGTCAGGCGACCAACAAACAAGTCCCAATGCCGAGCCTGGAAAAATTCCCTGACTCAGCTATAGACAGCAGTCACAACTACTGTCGCAATCCGAACCGAAATCCGGACGGTCCATGGTGCTACGCAGAAACATCTAATGGCAATGGATGGCAATATTGCGAAGTCCCCTTCTGTTTTCAAGCATATGAACGTTCTGCTGTCAATGGTATGATGTGGGGTGACTAAGATTTTCTAGCGTGATCGCTTCACAATGAAAAAAAATCAACAACTATGCGAATATTTTGTTTGATGCAGAAGAAACCGGATTTTAAGAATGGGAACCTAATTCCTTGAAACGTCTTGGAAAACAATTTCATTTGTAAACTTGAAGTTCTATATGCTTCCGCACCATTTTTCTCAAGTGATTAGAATATTTATGTGCGTGAAATATGACAGGTGACCCGGCAGTAGGATACCCAGAATGTCTGCAGACGGAAATGGGGAAGGAATACGTGGGGACGGTTAGGAAGACAGAGACAGGGAAGTCCTGTCTCAAGTGGAGTTCCATGACATCGTTTTTCGAATTCTTCAGAAACACCCTGGGCTTTGATCAGATGATAGGTTTTGATGGTCATTTCCGATATGGGACGCCTGCTTTGCATGAGAACTTCTGCAGAAACCCGACATTGAAGGAGCGACCATGGTGTTTCGTCAAAAGCTCGGGAGAATGGGAGTTTTGCAACATCTCCCTCTGCCTCAACTACCCAAGTAAGGTCAATCCCGGTTATGGTAATTTAAATATAGTTTTATTAAATGGTCACAACACATGTGAAATAAAGTGAAGCTTGATACAGGTACACTGTCAGTCTTCAAAATTGTTTAAAGAGAGAAGATAAATTGATTTTAATTGCGTATGTACCTGACATAATCTAACTACGAAGGAGCGTCGGGAGCACGGATGGATTTTTTATTTAGGTATAGCATAATTTAACTTCTGCCGAAACCAGAGGCGCGAAAATGATATACGAGGTGTGGCTATTAAGTTTCCAGACTTTATTTTTTCCAGATATTTTTAAACTTACAAATGATCAAATTCATCGCCTTCGAAGTACTCCCCTCCAGAACTGATACACTTATCTCTATGATGCTGTAATTGCTGGAAACAGCGGTGGAAGTCTTCTTTCGAGATGTCTTTCAGAGCCTGCATCACATTTGTTTGAATGTCTTCAATGACTTGAAATCGGTGGCCTTTCAAAAAATTTCTTCGTTTGGGAAACAGCCAAACGTCACTGGGGTCTAAATCGGGCGAATACGGCGGGTGATCCATTTCAGTGATCCGTTTGGCGGTTAAAACCTAAAAAAATATATAATCTAGTTTCAGTCACATGCTCAATGAGGTCTGGACGAAAACCTCTGGGACTGTAGTCTCCATCTGCATCTAGACAACTTTAAAGAGTTTCTTCAGCCGCTGGAAACATCGCTGATGCTAATCCTTTGGAATTCTTCCTCTTTGGATTAAACTTCCACTAACTCGCATCTCTCATTAGCCGTAATGATGCTTTGCATGTCTTAAGTCATATGCCTTTCCGCACAGTCGTTAGATGAGGCAATTAAAAGCATCACAGGAAAACAACTCCGGCGAGAAGGGAGGCGGTTGAAACACGGATGCGCGGTTGCCACAGCAGCAAAGCCACGACAGGTTAGGCTGTGTCGTGGTCATGGTGTGAATCTACAACTTTGCCTCCAAGTCTCCCAGGTTTCCTTTTTCTGCGACCACCATTGAGCAGACGATTGATCGCAGCAAGTAGTAAATCTGATACTCTGAACTCGAATGAAGTTCCTTTCTGCACCGCTGGATTGCGCAACTATGGGAGTGCGAGTCTTGAAATTGTATCCCAGAACTTTTTCATCAGACTATGTAGACCAACTTCAAGGCAATGTGTTTGAGGAAGATATTATTTTTATGTCGGGTGACGTATGTCATGAGAAGCAATGGCTGAATTTGGAAAATGCAAATTGGCATGGAACTTCAACTACCAAAGATATTCCCAAACATACCCCTAAGGAAAGAGCTGTTTCGAGAGATATGCAATGAAGATAAGACTATCTGTTGTGGGTAAAGCGGCGTGGGAATGGTAGAGAGATTCCTCCTTTCCTCCAAAGAATCCATTATTAGACTTTATCTTCATGTAATCCTTTTAAAATGTACCATAAAGAACCATTTCGCTCAAGCAAAATCCTCCAGGGATTGGCATCTTAATCCTTTATAAAGGGCCATATGAGGCCCACATCCCATATGTGACATTATTTCTATAACCACCATTCCTGGAACTTAATGTTTTTCAAAGTATTCACTTCCCCAAACAATGTTATATTGTTTTCGTAACCAAATTGTATTAATGCCATTTCAAGGGGTGTTACTTAAAATTATTCAATTTTTTTGGCAGCTTTGATTATTGTAAGCTAAATTGTGCTTTGTTGCGGAATATTAAACAATTACTTTTTGTTAATGACCAATGCTTTTAATTAATTTGGATGAAGGAGAGCCATGATACTTTAAAACATTAGAAATTAAAATACAGTGTTTCAACATCCACAAATAATAACGTCCTGATAGCACAGTTGACTTAAACAAATGAATTTCACATAGCCAATGCATCTTCATGCTCTTCCTTTCCTAGTTGGTTCAATAATTACAAACAAATCATTTTTCTTCTTCATATGTTGCAGACACGAAGGATTGCTCTTCTGTGTCGCATTCAGAATGGGATAAGGAGTTGTCCTAACCCAACCTTATTAATGTATTTCTTCGCAATTGGATTAGGAGCAAAATTTCTTTTTTGCTCGCCATCATATACGTGCTAAACAAATCACCATGAGGCAGTGACGATTGAGTGCATTAGAAAAGCAGAATGATTGCCTTTTTTCTCTGGCGATGAAGTCACAATTTTTGGAAGATTTTGGAACCCAAGATTTTTAGAATACTTCCATATACTTCCATCGGTTTCAACTGCGAACATGAAACGTATAATTTTTTAATTCAAATGTGAAGGCTTCAAAATTTTGAATTAGGTTAGGTTGGGTTAAATTATTTTATTGTTTTCATATAGGATTTCCAATAAAAGCCTACCAAATTCTAACAGCTTAGAAAGAACAAAATTTTAGAAGTAATCGGTGAACTTTAGCTGGGAATCGAAAAATCTAGCAAAGCAGTTTGAAGCTATGATTTATGATGTAAAAGATGGTGATGCTAACCCGTGTGGCACAGCAACGTTGAATAGACGTTGAATATACGTAGACATATAGACCTGGAGACGTTGAGTAAACGTCGAGAGTACACGTGGACTCGACGTGGAAATGGGAATATCATCTACCTAGAATATACGTAGATTTGTCAACGTTGAGTAAACGTTGAGAATATGCGTTGACTCCACGTGGAAATGGGAATATGTTCTACGCTGATTAAACGTAGATTTGTCAACGTTTTTCCTCTGTGGCTTTTGCAGTGACTCCTTCCCTTGGAGAGATTCGCAAGTAATCCATTCCAACCAAAAAAAATTCTCAAACGCAAGAGATTTATTCCTTTAGCCATTTTACACAATTAATCCTCATATCATTCCCAGAATGTCAACATGAACCACAACCAAAGAAACCACATTATCCTCTTGGAGCAGGATTCATCAGAGGATCACTCTGCTCCACTAGTTCCAGCTCCTCACATTCATATTCTCTAAACATCAGTCACCATGAACTGCAAAACTAAGAAAACAGGGTTAGTTAATAATAATATACTGAAATCCAGAGATTTATAATCAGATGAGGGAATATTGAATGTGATATGCACAATGTAGTTAAGTGTACAGCTGATACACTCCTATTATGGGCATATTGAGGATCATTACACTGTCCAGGAATCCAGTGAGCCTTTCTGGATTACTTAAATAGGTCATGGAGAGCTGCAAGGATTCACTTTTAACTTCACTTTGCCCATTCAGCTCTTCAGATTATAACTTTTGCACCTTAATATCAAGAGCAAAAACTGAAATAATCTAATGCTGGATGAGTCAGCCAATAATTCCTATATACTGGACTATCCATGAGTAAGTGCTAGTTCCTTTCTCCTGAAAAATTGCATTAAAAATATTACAGACAAATCATGCAAAAATTCAAATATGCTGAGTATTTTCAGAGTAGCAACACAATTTTTAGAATTAAGACTCCATTCTTCTCAGGAAGTTGCATGACTACCCTACAAGTATTACACAAGACACTCCCACAATGACTCTACAGAAATTTACTCCAGGATCAATAAAATATGGTGATCTAATTCACAGGAAAATGAAGCATGTCCCAATGTGGGAAACTAACCAAAAATTCCTTGAAGGATGGAATTGGAATTAAAGACTACTTCAAGTATCTCAAGCCCAATGGATCATCAAATATCAGAGTAGCCTGGACATACATTACATATCATAACTTATCGGTTAAACTTTCTAAGATAGAGAGCACAGAAGCCTTTAGGCCTATAAAAATCTTGCAATTTTGTATTACATCTCCTCACATCTAAAGAGAGTTGACAGAATCCAGGTTTCAAAAAGGCCAAGAAAAAAGAAAGGTGTACCAAAAATATATACCTGCTTGTGGAGTCTGGACAATATTCAACTCAAGTGGCCCATCTTACTGCCTCTTATTCTACATTATATTTACTTCCTATGTTTTACTAAAAAGGGTATTTGAACTTAATACCAAAGCAACTGAATGGGTCTGATGAAACCAGAGCTGAAGCTATCTTGCAAATTCTATCTTGCATTGAAGCTATCTTGCATTCAATGATTTCAAGTGAAGGAATGAACATAAGAAAATGAAATTTTTAGGGTTTCTTCCAATGACATGAGTGGTAATAGCAAATACAGAAAATTGTAGGTAAATGCGTTCTACAAAAGAGCAAAATTAGAAAAAATTCAAAATAAAAAACCCTACCAACCGCCTTGAAAATAACGCCAGACATTAACCGGTCAATCTGTTATGCAACCATGATATGGCGTTTGTGGCACAAATAGGTTTGGATGGGTAAAATAATATTTATTTAACGCAAATCGGGAAAATAATATTATATAGTAAATAATCAATATTTCTCCATTAGGAACCCTACCAATCTGGTTCAAAATCCCACCAGACATCAACCGATCATTCTGTTACACAACCAAGATGCAACGGTTGCGACACATATAGATTGGAATGGGAAAAAAAATGTATGTAACGCAAATCGGGAAAAAAAATTTTTTTTTTAAGTGATCAACGTTTCTCGCCCGGAAACCCTACCATTCTCGCTCAAAATCCAACCCGACATGGACCGATCATTGTGTTACGCAACCATGATGCAGCGGTTGTGGCACAAATAGGATTGCATGGGTAAAATAATATTCATGTAACGCAAATCGGGAAAAATAATATTTTATTGGGAATAATCAATGTTTCTCTCTCGGGAACCCTACCAATCTCGTTCAAAATCCCAACAGACATGAACCAATCATTCTGTTACGCAACCATGATGAAGCGGTTGCGGCACAAATAGGATTGGATGGGTAAAATAATATTTATGCAACGCAAATCGGGAATATTATATTTTTTTCTTGACTGATCAAAGTTTCTCGCTCGTGAACCCAAGCAATCTCCCTCAAAATCCCACCCGACATGAACCGATCATTCTGCTACGCAACCATGATGCAGCTGTTGCGGTAGAAATATTTTTCGATGGGTAAATTAATATTCATTTAACGCAAATCGGGAAAATAATTGATTAAAGAGAATGATCAATATTTCCCCATTAACAACCCTACGAATCGCGTTGTAAATCTCGCCAGATATGAAACGGTAATGCTGTTCCGCAACCATGATGCTGCGGCTGTGGCACAAAGTTTAAATATTCTATGAAATGGTTATATATCCATTTAACGTTAGCAGGGAAAATGAGGGCCGATCATAGTTGCGATTTCTCGGAATCGGAATGCGCTTGCTCGAGGATTTGGTGCCTGTCCCGATAAACGGGGATTGCATATTTCATATCCTGGTTAGAGTATCAATTACGTTAAATTTGCTAGACGTCAACAAATTCGTCACTTTTTGTTCCGAGCTTGTTAATTACTTACGGGATTACTCATTTCTTGCTTGTTGGAAAGGATTTCTAACATCAGATCTTTTACATGCTAGCCATTAGTGGGGTTGATATGGTATATTCATTTCTCAATGATCATCAATTGCACGAAGATTACTCACGTTACATGAGTAAGAATACTTCTTTCGGAGATGAAACTAATGTTTTCGCTTTCATTGGGAAATGTGAAGTTGACTACGATGTTGTGTGGTATCGATCAACTTTGGGAACTTTCATTTCAATGCATTGGCCTTCAGTTGATTCGCCTCATCAATCGATGGTGCTAGGACTTGACTGCGACTTTTTGCGAAGAAGAAACTCAGATGGGTTCAAGGGCCGAAACTAGGCAAACTCCTTCCACCTAATATAATGTCTTGTCTGTAGACGCATTAGATATAGGACTTTTTTCGCCACCTGGTATTTTGTCAGATTTGCCTTTAGCAACAAAATAAAATGAAACATTCCGCATCATACGAAATATATTTTTAACTTCCCGCTCCCAAAACATCATTCTCAGTGCAAACCTATTTCCCGACCGATAGAATTTTCGAGGAAAAGAAAAAGATTTATTTTCACTAACAGAAAGTTTACTGTACCCTGCAATACGAACAGTTATGACAGTTTTATTGCAGTACGACATTTAATGAAATTTACAGTTCATATATACAAGGGCCTTTTCAAAAAGGTTATCACATCTCATATGTACGAGGGTGGTTCAATACTTACCTGCACTTTTCATTCCAGAAAAATTTTGGTACATCCGATCTCTATCATACTACGCATCATTCTCGAGGTATTTCCCTCTTACACGAACATACTTGTCACATCGCATTGGCAACGCCTGAATGCAAAAGACATATGAATGCCTATGGTCGAGTGCGCAGCCACTTCACCACTATGCCATTGCCCTGAATTCCTTCGAACGGGCGATGGGTAATATCGACATTGCACGCTTCAGCGTTTCCATACCTGCGTTTAGTGATGAATCCACGTTTCATCGCTCGTCAAAAGGCGGTTGAGGATGTTCTCTTTCTCTTCGTCGTAGCAGTTGAGATGGTTCGATACGGCGGTCACTAGGTTAGCCTTCTGGTCGAATGTCACTTTTCTTGACACCCATCTGGCAGTAACTTCTTTCAGTTTCAAGTGAGTATGGATAATATTTTCGACACCCCAAATGTTGATCTTTAGTCTCGCTGCAAAAACTTGCACGATAACGCGGCGATTCTCCAGAATAAATTGTTCAATTCACAACAGTCACGGACGGATGGCCACGCTCAAGGAATCGATTCTTGGCCGTTTTGAAACTTCTCGCAAGATCAAATACATTCCTCCTCTCTAGACAGTCTTCCTCTAAATGTGCTTGTAATCTTCGGAATTTATCAGCCTCCTTCACATTTTCTTTCACGTGGAATTTTATTATACAACGCCTTTTAAACCAAGATATTCCACCAGACGCCATGTTGTCACACCCAATTGCGCATACGCGAGGTTCCCCCTCTTGGCCTATAACACACTGAAGATTGGGGCTATCTGTCACAATATGCTTTCAGACTCTTTTCTATACTATTGATTTTCTCGAATAGAAAGGGCAGGTAAGTATTGAACCACCCTCGTATTACACACTGACAACCTAGGTAGCATTTGTCTTCTCAACGTTGTCTCCTTTTCAGTTGAAAAATTAATCCATTCTTTCTCTCCGGCTCTCCATGCATTCTCTGTTGAAGCTTTTGTCTTGGGACTCAAATCAGTCGAGGATGGTTGGCTCGAGAGCGGTTATTGAGTCAAAACGCACTTTGCTTCAGTACTCTGCCTCGGTACTCTGCTTCAGTTATGGAAACAGGAAAAAGTCCGAAGGTGCTAGGTTTGAACTAGAAGTTGGATGAAATAGCAATTACCCGCGAAATTTACGAAGTGCAGCCATCGAAAGTGTCCTCCAGTGCGCAGAAACATTTTCATGGTGAAACGGGACAGGCTGATGCAACTTTCCCTGCGTCTTCTCCTGCAGAGCAGTACGAAGCTTCTGAAGAACCTGCTCATAGTAGACACCTGTGACCGCTTTACCTTTAAGGAGGATGTCCACCATGATCACCCCTTCTGCATCCCAGAAAACGGTCGCCATTAGCTTCGTAGCCGACTCCTCAAATTTGAATTGGAAGGGTCCAGTTGCGCCTGTTGGAGGCTACTGCCTTGACAATAACTTAGCCTTAGGATCATAGAGGTAGATTCAAGTTTCATCCCAGTTACAACTCAAGCTATCAAGCCATCAGTATCAGTGTCGAACTTGTTTAAAAACCTCATACTGCAATCTGAATTTGGATTGTTCTGAACTGGGCGCAATGCTTATGGTACCCAACGTACACAAAGCTCACTCAGTCCCAGCGTCTCTTTCAGTATGGAATGCACAGATTCAGCAGATATTCTTAGCGTCTCTCCTATCACCTCCACCTTGACTCGTCGGTTTTCTTCCACCATGGCTTAAACTGCTTTAATATTCTCATCAGCGACCGAGGAAGCTGGCTGACCACCGTGTAGGTAGTCTTCAATGCTCGCTCTCTCTTCCTTGGAGCAGCGAGTCCAGTCATAAATTATAAAACGCGATGAAGTCCTGTCACCATGAATGTTCCTCAGAGCCTCATGGATCTGTTCCTTTTCCCGCCTTATTTTTTAATAAACACTTCTTTTCCCTCCTTTCCCAATACTTTTCGCTTTGACAGGAACATCACATTAGCACAAAACTCAATTTATAGATTTTCCATGTCGACGCTAAGTTCTCTGGCTTCCAAACGGAAAATCTGAGGTCTGAACGTATCGTCAATCGATCATCACACTCAGGGAATTATGTTATCATTACATTGTTAAAAGGTTAAAGCATTTCCTCGTCGTGCCTACATAATTTCTTGGTCATTCTTCCATCAAAAATATCATAGACGATTGCATTCGTATACTCACCCTACCCTGTCCAGCGCTGTAAAGGAATTACAATATCCTATGGTTTTCCACTGGGTGACACATATATGTGGATCCTTCCCCGTAATCTTCTTTTAAAATTTTCTTGAGAAACAATGAATCAAAAAACTATCATCATCCCTATCAGAAAACGTAGATATCCAGATGAATAGTTTACAATGTTGCACACACATGAAATGAATGCATCTGCAGAGGAACATAATATACCTCTTTTTCAATGCTATTGAAGTTCTGAATTACCGCTGTATATAAAGTTTTAAGTCAATTTTGAGCACTTTGTAGGACAGTTGCTTTGATCTCGTTGACTCAATTGCAGAACCATCATCTCTTATGAATGATGTTGCTGACTGAGCTGATGTTAATGTTCGATGTAGAGATTAGCTAGTGAAAAGTAACACTGCAATCTTCTCTGATCAATTCCCTACGATGACGAATCCAGTTTGCGTACTCTGCAAGTTTTTTTCCGGCCATGTCGTGGATCGTCGCCAACATTAGCTTTACCATTCCGAAACCACTCACTGCATTTATGGACCTACTCCCTCGCTAAGGACAGTTAGAACTATACACGGTAATCAATACCATATTGACCATATTGACCATACGCCATAATATAGACGTTGTTGCACAATTGATTAATTTGCTCATTCGGCCTCCAAATTCCCTGTTCTGGAGTTCTAGACTCCCAATACCTGTATAGTGAAAGGCATCTGATGGATCAGTTTTTCATTTGTCTTGGCTGCAAGAGTAACCTTTTCATTTGACCCTTCTTCTTACATCCAATATACCTTAATTGAGGTACTGAAGTGTCGAACATCTCAGTAGACGTGAGCCAAATTTTTCCTCACAGGATGATTCGAATCTCAAGGAGCGATCAAACATATTGAGTCAAAGAATATATTCCTACGTTTTTCTCTCAAAGTTGCATACGTTGCGTTCATCTCGCCGCCCTTTCCTCTGGGGCATATGCATCACTAAAGAGTAATTTAAAATACCCCCCAACGGGACAAGAAAGACAATGGGTTTCTTGCTTTCATTTATAACTGTTTTGTTTCATATCAAGACAAGACGGAGTGCAAATGGACAAAGGAAGGAGAAGAATACGCAGGAACTCGCAACGTGACGTTGACCGGGAATCAATGCCTGTCGTGGAGCGCCTCCAATTTCTATAATGATTTATGGCCAAGATTCCCAGAGGACGTGAGGAAAACCCATCACAACTTCTGTCGCAATCCGCTGGGTAGAGAGGTGCCCTTTTGCTTGGTTGCTCATGAAGAGTTTGAAGACTGCGATATCCCTTTCTGCACTTTTCACTACCTCCACTGAACGATTATCTTCGGTGAAGTAGAGAGTGAGGAAATTGTAGTATTTTTGGCTCTGAACTGCATTCACACTTCCTCATTAGAATTAGGCATTCCTATATATGGCAAAACTACCACGACTAGCTAAGTCTGAACTGCTGGAAATTTTGGGGATTTTGCGGAGTGCTGGGATTTTTCTGCTCTTTGCCGTATTGTCATGTTCACTGAATCTTTGTTTTCCAAAGTTTTGAATTTCTTGTGGGGTCTTCCTTCAAGTGCTTGTTTCGGTATTACGACTCTATCTCCACACTGGGAATTGAGAGAAAGCAAATTCAAAAGCTGTATCCAAAGTTATGCCCTCCTGGCTTCATATTTCCTCGGGTTCGTTTTCACCAATGCGTCATTTCATTCAAAAAGGAGCCTTAAAGTCTGTAAATATGAAGACCTGTCCGTGATAACTAGCATTGTGGTTGAATCGTATTACGCTACGGACATGTTCATGGTGTGGTCCTTGTACTTGCCAAAGTTAATAAACCGATCTAGGAGAATATGTCGCATATTTTGTTATTTCATTACTTAAACAATAAATATAGGAGAAAAAATGGAATTCATGATGAGGCATGATGGCTCGCTGGAGGAGAATTGCAAACAGTCCTCTAGAAAAGGTGCCGGAAGGAGCGCCACCACGAGTCGATTTTCCCCGATTCCTGAATGCCAAACAAGCTCGTTATGAACGCGCTTTCGTCGCAATGTGATCAAAGGAAATTGCTAAAGCATTGAAAGCATTCACTTTCGAAGTTCTTCTTTAGTGACATCGTCAAACCGTTTATAGATTTTGTGATTCTCGCCCCCTCAGCCTTGGCACCTAAAAAATAACGTTGCTTTAGAAAATGTGCACAGCGATGGAACACAATTTTCAGCTTGAGGATCACGAGTTAAAAATGCAATGCGTCGCTTAGTGCTCCTATATAGAAATTATTTCCTCCCATTGGTCACGAAACTTTCGGCGGTGCGGGACTCGATCCGTCCTTTTCGATCCCTTCTCTCTCTGCAAAAGCACTTCTCGCAGTAATTCTTGCAATTCGTCTAGCTGGTTTACTCCCAATGAATACGGCAACTCGCGACGTTTGAGTTCTCGAAGGAAAATGCAACGATTCCCGCATCCATACAGAGTGCAGATTTATAAAACGAAAGTCAATATGGGTACCGGAACACTTTCCTTCCGGGGGGTATTGCGAACTTATAGTGATGGGTACAGTAAACTTGGCTTTTCCGTGGTCGACCGTGATGTCGTTCGAGAGGAATCGCATTTCAGCTTCATGACTCTAGGCAATCCATAATTACGGCAAATGGGAAATCGCTGGAATTTCTCAGTTAGCCTCGGTCAAGGTACTTTTTGGGTGGTGTGGATCATGTATCGCATTACATACCATGAGTCTCATCCATCCATTCAGAACTTCGAAGGAATGGAATCAATATGTGTTTCACCCCTCTGGAGATCCCGAGGTGGATTTAGAACCAGGTGGACGTCCCACCAGGTGGAAATCAAACGTTGGATTTTCCATCGTAAGAATATCCAATTGGTTCCGAATCCACAAGGAGGGCGGGAAGAAAGGGAGGGGGGGGATGTCTATTGCTTGGGTGAGATCGAAGCAATAATCCCTCACTTGGGATCTTTGATTCTTGTTTTTCATGGCGGAAAATTTTCTCATTTTTGGCTCTGTCTACAAGCAGCTTTCGTCCATATGTAGCCTAAGAAAACTTTGTGAGTGGATAAAATTTGAAAAATGAGTTTCTCTGCCCCCCCCCCTCACTTCACAAGCCCAGCGTGAAATCGAAACAGAAATATATACTAACCATGAAAAATTAATTTTTCCCTGATCTGCAAAATTCAACTACAAACCACCTTGGATAATACTCATCTACTTGAGTTTGTTTTCCCGAAAGGCAAACAAACTCTTATATATATATACTCAAATATAATTTTCATTGATCACGTTCGATACGAGTGCTACCGAAGTAGTTGTCTCTGAAGATAATCTTTTTCAGCACTTTTTTTCCCAAAGGCGCATCGTTGATCCAAAAAAGTAGAAAGCGATAGAGTTCCAACTTGTCGCTGGATAGCTGAGTAAAGAAAAAATCAACCTTTAGAAGTATGTCCCCTCAGAGCGGAGGATTTAATCACCTTTCTAAGTAATGGGGCGGCGAAGGCGCGACCATAGCGAGTTTGTTAGCCGATGTGCTAAGAACCTCGTACTGGTTTACAGACGATCGTGAGTGACTGGGACTAAGTCTAACCATGTACCATTGATTACAAGAGGTTGAAACTTGCTAGAAAAATAACTATTAGACTGCTGACTCCAGAAAAGTGCCAACTTACGGATTACACCCCCTGGGGGCACTTTTCGTGGGGACTGACTTTTAAAGCCTAGGCCTAAAGTAAGAATGAAGGCTCAGGCTCACGCCACCCTCTTATTTCCTTCCTTCAATGAAATAGGAACTCGAATAGCCGTTGCGTTGCTGACAACAAAAAAAACTCCGACTTTGGAGATAGTTGTCTAATCCGCAATGTCTCAATATATGGAGCAAATCGCATAAAGATATTATTATTTCGAATCACTTCACCCCTCAGCGTATTTCGCCTAACTTACTACTCTGTAAGTAAATCAGCTTTATTTATCTGTCTAGCGAGCAACATTCAGGCAGGTTTTTTCTTAAATTATCAATATAAAAATGTCAAGGCTAATGAGGGAGGTCCGAATATAATGAAATCCACTCAGAAGTCCAGTGCCAAGCTTGACAGAGGTTCCACTTGAATAATAATTACGTCGGCGGTCATAACGATGGAGTATCTCTTCTCACAGCCTATTTACAGGTTAATAACTGCTACCCAACCTTTTCGTTTATGTTTTACGATACTATCAACCTGCTATGTTCAACATTTGGTTCATACGATACATTGCCGGAAAAGCTCAAGACCCGACAGGAAAATAATTTATTTTCCAGCACGAGTCCTACGTCGTGTATACTGTACACTACTCCATCTGTTTCTTTATCATCATTCCATACTACTGTCCTCGAGTTAAACGAGCTTAACACTATTTCCTCATTTATATTAACGGTATACATTTCCCACAGAGGTATGGCGTCATTTGAACGAAGACCGCAACTCAACTAAATGCCGAAAATATTACATACCTCAAACACACCAACATTTTCCTTGCCTGTCTGTGCAAACTCTCGCGAAATTGGAGACCATTCATCTGCAGGTCAAAATTGAACAGAACTACCCTCATGAAATCCTATTATCCAAAATTCATACCAAATGGTCGTTCTTTTCCTTGTTAGATTCCATTGCCAATTGAATGCCGAATAAAATCTGCATTCAAAAGCATTTCGCTGCAGCGTTGCCTGGGTCTCGTCAAGTACCCGAGTTCCAGATCGATCATGATGTCTAACTTATTTTAGCCTTTCTGCTTTCCCAAGCTACTCCTCACCAAAGTAATCTTAAGGCCAGTCGTTATCATAATCGATGCTGAGACTCTTTCATTTACTCCCTTTCCACTTCCTCAGTAATTTCTGATTCAATTCGCTCCAAATCTCTCAATTTCTCTCGGCTCTAGATCCATTCTCTTTCTCACAGATGCAGGAATATAATTAGTGTGTTCCATGAAATTCCTAAAAGTTACTCGAGAGTTATTAAATATAAAGTCATGAAGGTATGTGAAGTATTCAACAAATGAAAACAAATGCGAATGTGGGGTTGAAATAGTTGAGAGTGAACATGCGGCTGCTTCTTTTCTACAAGCAGTGGTGGATATGGTGATCAAAATTGAGAGATTGGAAATTCAACTGGTCATTCACGCACGTGTCCTTCAAAACCGGGTGGATGTCCATTCCTCGGTTGGATTTTGAACCAGGTGGGCATTACTCCAATAGGTGGGCTCACGCAGAAAGTGATATCCATGCGAGTGCAATTCCAGGTCGGGAATGGCCTTTTGTGACGACCGGGGTGAGTTCCCATAATGAGTGACTTGCGTGACTTGCAGGCAAATGATTTCCATGTTTTGCTGAAATATTACTAAACCTCCGTCCATCGTTAAGACAGCTTCTACGCCCTCCATTATTCCTCCCACAAACGCTATTAAATATGATTATTGGTGATATCATTACTATCCGACAGAGTGTCACGAAGATGGTCAGATCCCCATCGGAGCGGTTTCTTTCTTACCTACCCTATCCAAAAAATGTACACGGAGATGAATGATTCACGATGCACCAACCAGACACTTCCAACATTGCTGGTATTTTTGGGGTTCACATATCGAAATGGATGCAAAGAAATCGTTCAGTGTAACGATCATACCTTCTTCATTCCCTTAGAGTAACCATTCCTATCGTTCACCAGACGCTCGATAATATTTTACCTATTGCCACTGGAATTTGGATGGAAGAGTTTTCCGAATAACACAATCGTATTGAATCCAAGTAAAAGACAACGTAGGTGAGGTAATATTTGAAAATCATGAGTATTTTAAGACAGCTCCCCTCTTCAGACCCACATGTATCGCACAATAAATTCGGTAACGCAAGTATCACAAGATATTCATGGAGCTTGTTCCTGTGATTTATTGGGGGCTTTCCGACGACTTGAAGAGACTTTCCCAACAAATGCCAACAAAACCAGAACGCAATATATGAATGACAAATCTCTTTCGGTTTGCATGCCTGAAAGTGAAATACTCCCTATCGCAGGGGGAGCACATCGACAGGCGTCAAACAGAGGGAGAGGAGCAGTCTCCGACATCAACTAGCATTGATCAAGTGACCGACACCACTTGCATATGACCAAAAAATCCACTACAAGCACTGTTTTTGCAACGGGGAGCGAAGTCTCAACGATTGTACCTTCAAAGTTCGACAATGAACGCACATCATTGATTTATCTGAGATATGCGCTTTTAAGCGCTCGCACCTTCTGAAATAGTGAAACTTCATGGCTTTTGGATATTTTCAACAAGTTAA